CCAGGTTGCGCAGGCTATAGCTGGTATTTTGGTCCATTCCTCCATCAGATTTTCTCTGGAGCAGTGAAGCTATAAGGTGCATTCACGCTGAACACATTACTATTACATATTATTTCCATGCAAGTCGCTTACAGAAGAGTGACAAAGCAGTAAAATCCATGCAGTTAGGGCGGTCAATGCTCAGCTCTAGGAAGTATGACCTTCCTAGCAGTTTTCAGGCAAAAGTAACAACCTATTTGATCTCTAGGAAGCCAATTTTTTGGCATTATAGAAAACCACATTGAAAGAAAAAAAAAAGTTTTTTGTGTCTCTCAGCAGGAGAAGAGCTGGGGCATCAGTGATCCTGATCGGTGACCTCACGGTTGGAGATTCCGTTCGTCAGGATCAGAGTCATGCAGCCAAACATGACAAAAACTCCTGATATCAGGAAAATGGTGGCCTAGAGGAGGAAATAATCTCTCTGTGAATTATGTGTAGTTTAGTTTTGAAAATAGATGTGAAGAATAAGTACTAGGTATAGCTTAAATTACCCCAATCCTTTGCATTGACTCCTTCTTGACAAGTTTGATATAGAAAGCAGAGGGCAGGATAAAGATGAGCATTGGAGCAGCAGAGGCACCTGAAAACAGTACAAAGGGTACATTTAAACACATGGGGTCAATAATGCTTCGCTATCAAGACATTAAATCTTATAGATATATGCAGGTACTAACCGATAAGGTCAAAGATATCTCTAATGTTTGGGACAAAGATGACCAGAGTGTTGGTTCCTGCAAGCAGCCCTATGCTGATAATAATGTGTCGGATCCAGCTGAAGTCCTTGGTTAAGAACAGTAGGTCATTTATCGAGGTACGAATCTGTTCAGAATCAAATCAAAATTAGTTCACTGGACTTCATTGTCTTGTTTGACTGTATAACTGATAGTAGAGCTCAGATACTTACAATGAAGAGCACCACGGGGACTGTGAGTGTGACAGCAGACAGTACAGCCAGACGAGCCACCAACAGGAGGACATCATGCTTGAAGTACTTGAAGTAGGTGTGGAGCAGTTCAGGTTCCACATGGACTGTACAGATTTAATACCGCAAATGCTTTATTAGACAGACTGAAGCACGGTTCACTTGATATGTTATCAAAGAGAATAAATAGATGAGATTGAAGAATTTAGATGTTTTATATTCTATTGTGATATGTTTTGCTTTAAATGTTTTACTTTGCCAATAGGTAACCAAGCCTGACTCGACAAGCTGTCTGTTTTTGGTCTGCATGACAGAGTTACATCATCAGTAGGGCTGAGCAGTTAATGGAAAATCTATATTTGGATGAGAACAAATGTATGCTAAGTTCTCCTACTTAGAAAGCAAAAGCAGCCCTCAAAGCGTAAGCAGTTGGTCTGGGGAGCCCCAATGTCACTTGCCAGGGCCGTATTGGCCCGGTTACCCAGACGGGCAGTAGGTTGCCCCCCTCAAAATTTCTTTAGAAATTTTCTAGTTGTGGATACTGCTCTATATCTGAGAGAGGTGCAGTTAACCTTTTGCTGGACGGTTTATGGCAGTGTTTGTGAGGTTTGTTGTTGCTAACAGTGCAGCAGATAAAATGTAAGCAGTGATGAGGCCCTTAGGAGGAGACCAGATCACTTTAAGCATGACATACAGCAGGAATTTTATAAGAACAAACATAAATAATCAGGAGATCCTTTAAATTCTTGAAAGGCAAAGATGGAGTCAAAAACAGCATGATCGTCCTGTGAACCAGCTATATGCTAACTAATTTAGAACAGATGCAATAACTTTCTGTGGTTAACTAATACTATTTATTTGTTTTCAGTGAATGGTACATTAATGGAGATTACCTTGTTGCGCTGGTTTCGGTTATTCTGATCCTGCCCCTCTCTCTGCCTAAGAACTTGAGTAAGTAGGGTTATAGTTATAAGATGTATTTCCTAGGTAATAATAATGGTTAGAGTTGCAGGTTTAAATGGAAACGTTTATTATTTTCTTTCTCCCTTAGGTTATCTGGCTTACACCAGTGGTCTGTCTCTTCTCTGCATTGTGTTCTTTCTGATTGTAGTGAGTATGGCCCCACCTTGTTTTTTTTTTTATTCCACCCGTAGCCCTTACATTTAAGGAATCACTCCACTAAAAACTTTCATATTGTTTATCAAATAGTAAAATAGCAGCATAGAAACATGTTTTCCTATGCATTTCTGCAGGTGTTTATTAAGAAGATCGAGATACCGTGCCCTCTGCCTATGACTGATCATGTGACTGAAACCTTGCTGAACATCACCCACCACAGCGACTGCACCACTTGCGATGATGACACCTGCAGACCTAAATACTTTGTCTTTAACTCACAGGTAAATACATCTATTTCAGCAAATCTTATCAGTTATATTTGTTGAACTATTTGTAACCTGTGGATTTTTTTTTTCATTTTTCCAGACTGTCTATTCTATTCCCATTGTTACCTTTGCCTTTGTGTGCCACCCGACCATCCTACGCATGTATGAGGAGCACAAAGAGTAAGTCCTGCGCACTTTCATCTGGTTGGTCTGCCGGCTTCCGTAGCGTTGTGAACGCGCAGGCGCGCGCTTTTAGGAAATCCTATACACTACTGTTTATGCTCTATAAACATTCTAAATGACTTCGTTTCGAGTAAATTCTGGATGCTACCCACTCAGGACACTTGGAATACATTGGACGAGCAGTATGGAGGAATATTGACACGAATATTGACCTTTCTGCCTCGGGCGCTATGGACCTCCATTATTTGAATGTCAGCAGACAGGAAGAAGCCTCCCAGATCTCCAGATGCATTTGAGATATCAAAAAAGTACTCCAGAGTGTTGTTCAGCATGGGGGTGAGTAGAAAATGAAGGCTAATCATGTTTTGGGTGTACTATTCCTTTAAGAGGAATAAGCTGACGTCTAAATCCAGCGACCTGTTTGCATCCAGCCAGCCCAGACAAAACTTCATCAAAGGGGAGGGATTTTATCAGACACTAATATTGCATTCAGGTACAACTGAGACCAAAGGCTCTCAAATTAGCGAAACAGCATTTCAAAAGTGTTTTGTTCTAAAATATAGGGACAGTCTTATTGGAAACCTTAACATTATACTAAACATGTAATGATCTTGGCACTGATGCCTGGCTTAATTGCTAATTCCATTCACCTGTCTACCTCTGCATGGTTGCTCATTACCGCTCATCTGATCCACCTGCTCCTGTCTCTATTTAAGGTACTTGCATCCAGCTATCAGGGCAGATTATTGTTCTTGTTCTTGGGGGCCAGTGCAGAGAGGGTTTTTAGTATCCCTTAGTGTTTCTGATTTCCTGATCCTGAGCTGTTCTGCCTCTCATCCACTGATTGTGTCTGTTCCTGTCTGATGTCTTTGGAGAGAGTGGTTTTGGGGGTACCATAGTGTTTCTGATTTCCTGATCCTGACCCACTTGATCTTAACCACTGAGCCTGTCAGCAAGTGTTATTTAAGAAAGAAGAGAAACAGGATAAAACAAAATTTCAAAGTTGGTGACCCCTTCTTTAGACATTGTTTTCCTTAAATGCCAGTTTAAATCACATCATTACACTGGATTGAATTCTATGTGGTTTATTTAAATAAATGTGGACCAGTTTTGTTTGATATAATGTATATCAGTTAAAATAATGTCCTGATCTGTAAAGTTTCTTACCTGATTTTTGAAACCCTCATTTTGATTTATTTTGAAATCCAGCTAAAAGATTAGAATTGTGGACATAACTTTGTATTAATGCATGTCTCACTCAACTTCAATTCACTAAACCAGAAAATGCATGAAAATATATGTAGAACAGACTACAGCAATAAATGTAATTGTCATGACACAGGACAGAGGGACCCAGGTTTCAGGCAAGGCAGACAGTGGAATAGCTTAATTCACTTATTCAAACAAAGCAGACTGTTGATACGATGTATCAGCGGTTAGGGTGTGTATCACTAAAGCTCTGGTTTAATAGTTCAGTCCATCCTTAGAGAACGAGGTAGGATCCAGCAGGTGAGCTGCCAACTACATGCGGCGAGCGCTGCCCAGAGTGTCCCAGATGCTGCAGCCCCGGAGAACATGCAGGAGTCCGAAAGCAGGTCAGGGAAACAGATCACAATAGGAAGGCTCAGACGTCCAGGAGGCAATCCGTTCAGACAGGAACTGCCACGCTCAGTGGATGAAAGGCAGAACAGGTCAGGATCAGGAAAACAGAAAAACTATGGAACACTAAAAACCCCTCTCACCACTGGCCAAAGTGAACTAGAACAATAATCAGGTCCTGATAGCTAGATGCAAGTATCTTAAATAGAGGCAGGACAAGATGGATCAGATGAGCGGTAATGAGGAACTGGGCAGAGTTAGACAGGTGAACGGAATGAGGATTTAAGCCAGCCATCGGTGCATTACAAGATCATGACAGTTATGAGCAAAGAGAATCAAAGTTCTGTGAATTGTACCTAATTTTAATACTTTCTACAGCAAGAAAGCAAAACAGAAAATTAAGTTATGGCATTAAGGTCATTTATTTAGGCTTTTTATTATAAACATAGAAATATATATACAAATACAAATATATAGGAAATAATGACAGTTTCTTTAACAGTATTTTTAAAGAAAACGATAACTTCAGTTTACATTGCTTATTTAACTTTGTAATTAACAAAGCAAAAAATGTTGTTAGAAGGCTGCATGCAGCAGCTGTATTTGATCTTTGGTGAACACTTCAAATGCTGGTTATTTACATCCGGAAAAAAAAAGAAAACAATTCCATTCTCTTATTTCAAGTGCATGATATCAAATAATGTTTTTGTAAAGGCAAAAATTATCATTTAATTAGCAGCTTATCTTGAGGCAAAAATGATTTAGCCAGCCATTGAAAGTAGGGCTGAGCAGTTAATGGAAAATCTATATGTGGATGAGAACATCATGTATACCGTATATATATATGAAAAAGTGAATGCTAAGTGCTCCCATTTTAGTTGGCAATAACAGAGGTCAAATGTTCATATAAGTTTCCACCAGGTTGCTCAGACTGTAGCTGGTATTTTGGTGCATTCCTCCCTCAGATCGTTTCTGGAGCAGTGATGCTATAAGGTGCATTCCCACCGAACACGGTGTCCATGTCAAAAGCAGCTTATTTACATATTATCCCTATGCAAATCGCTTAGGGAAGAGCGATAAAGCGATAAAATCCATGCAGTGAGGGTGGTCAATGCTCTGCTCTAGCTGAGGGCTGCTAGGAAGGTCATATGACATTCCTAGCAGTTTTCAATGAAAAATGACAAACTGTATGATCTCTAGGAAACCACTATTTTGGCATTCCGTAAAAGTTTAAAAAAACAATCCACTGGACTTTGTTTCCAAGGTTTCGCTTCCCCTCCAGGAAGCTTTCTCAATTCAAAATGTCACTATTTAGGCAGTATAGAAAACAAGCTTGAAAGAAAATAAACAGTGTTTCAGTGTATCTCGCCAGCAGAAGAGCTGGAGCATCAGTGACCCTGATCGGCGACCTCACTGTTGGAGATCCAGTCCATAAGAATCATAGTCATGCAGCCAAACATGACAAAGAATCCTAATATCAGGAACAATATGGCCTGCAGGAGAAAGTAATGTCACTGGGAATTATGTATACGGTATTTTAGTTTTGAAAATAGATGTGGAGAATAAGAGAAGATAATGTTTGATAATTAATAAATTACCCCAATCTTTTGCATTGACATCATTGACTCCTTCTTGACAAGTTTGATATAGAAAGCTGAGGGCAGGATGAAGATGAGCATTGGAGCAGCAGAGGCACCTGAAAACAAGACAAATGGTAAAGTTAAACACATGAGGTCAATAATGCTTCACTATCAAGACACTAAATCTTATATGCAGGTACTAACCAATGAAGCCAATGATATATCTGATGCTGGGGACAAAGATGACCAGAGTGTTGGTTCCTGCAAGCAGGATTACAGTGATAATAATGTGTTGGATCCACCTGAAGTCCCTGGTTGAGAACAGTAGGTGGCTGATGGAGGTACGAATCTGTTCAGAAACAAACCAAGATTAGTTCACTGAACTTCATGGTCTTGGTTCACTATAACTGATAGTAAAGCTCAGACACTTACAGGGAAGAGCACCACAGGGACTGTGAGTGTGACAGCAGCCAGTACAGCCAGACGAACCACCAACAGGAGGACATCATGCTTGAAGTACTTGAAGTAGGTGTGGAGCAGTTTAGGTTCCACATGGACTGCACAGATTTAATACCGCAAATGCTTTATCAGACAGACTGAAGCACGGTTCACTTGATATGTTATCAAAGAAATTAATTAGATGGGATTGAAGAATTTAGATGTTTTAAATTCTATTGTGTGATGTTCTGCTTTTTTTTTTTTTTTGGTTCATTCCTCCATCAGATCTTCTCTGGAGTAATAATGCTATAAGGTTAAACTTAAAATGAATCGTGGGAGCCGTTGATCTACTGGTTAGAGCAGTGCACTTGTGCTCTGAGAAGGTTGCAAGTACCCGGTTTGTTACCCACAGCCTGCACTCTGGGTCCCTGAGCAAAGACCCTTAACCCCAAAATGCTCCCTGGACGCCTTACAGTAGCAGCCCACTGCTTCCCAAGGGGATGGATTAAATGCAGAGGTAAATTTCTCCAGTGTGAGATCAATGAAGTTAAATTATTATGATTATGCTGTGGTCATACGCATTGGTTAATGACCACAAAATACCAAACCAATTATCTGGTAGTTATTTCAGCAGGATGATATTCTTTGTTGCATAGCTATTGGTAAACTGCTTTAACATGTTGATATGATCATTATACTCCAACAGCCTACATGAGTCTCCTAACTAAATGCTATAGAGCTTACTGAAGAAGTAAGTGGAACAGGATTAGCTTTTAGAAGTCAAGAGGAAATCTGTCTGTCATCATGTTGATATAGATCTTTGATTCTGATACATTGTTGCTTCTTTAGCATGACAAGTTAGGCACATCTAATTACAAGACAGGAGTGTTAGTGTTTAAATCTGGTGAGAGTTACTGTTGAAGGTGAGGTATCCAAAGAGGGCACCCAGCAGGTACATGATGAACATGGCCAGGAAGGACACGTTGGCAATATTCTGCATCTTTCTGCGTGAGCGGCTGTTTACAGAAAATAGGTATAATTTAGACATTATTTTGAAGAGATATAACATGGGTTTAAATATTAGAGAAAGTTTGATATTACACCCAAGAAGCAGGACTTACTCTTTGAGCTCCTCATACATGGGTAGGATGGTAGGGTGGCACACAAAGGCAAAGGTAACAATGGGAATAGCATAGACAGTCTGGAAAAATGAAAAGATCCAAAGGTTACAAATAGTTCAACAAATATAACTGAAAAGATTCGCAGAAAAAGATGTATTTACCTGTGAGTTAAAGACAAAATATTTAGGTCTGCAGGTGTCTAGGGTTAGTATGGTTTCATTCACATGATCAGTCAGAGGCAGAGGGCAAGGTATCTCAAACTTCTTAATAATAACCTGCAGAAAACATGTTTCTCAGCTGCACTTTTACTACCGTATTTTCACGACTATAAGGCGCACTTAAACGTCTTTTTTTCCCCTCAAAATGTTCGGTGTTCCCTTTGGTGCGGTGCGCCCTATGTGTGTTGTAACTGCGACTTTTGAGACCACCTCATTGAGGAGATGATGAAAGAGTGGCTGAATGTAAGGAGACCAGGTGTTTTTTTTTTCCACTCATCACCATCGCTGATGTGAAAAACATGGTGAAACAAATTAAGCTGTGCTCGCTGTTATTCAACCGCTGGACCCAGCAGGTGCAGCAGAAGCAGCGTGTTTATATGCAAAGTCAA